AATATGACAATAAGTCAAAATAAAAACAAAAGTATTTTGTGTCTTTAGACTCATAATGTTTATCTTCTGTTTTGTCCCACATATTCTATTTGAAGATCTTTGTACCGGCTGTCGGTGTTGTCCTGATGGCACAGTGTGCATCACCACCAATGGAGTTGCTGAATGCATTGACGCCTGTGTGAATTACAATGTACTGAACGATGCCTGGCGTTCAACAGAGAACACAGACTATTCAATCTTACACTGTGACTATTACACTGCCTGGAGTGGTTGGTATCGCTTTTACTTGGGTCAGACCAGCGCTCAGATTCCAGAGAAATGTGTAGCAGAAAGAAGATGTGGAACTCATGCTACTTTGTGGATAAATGGGGCTCATCCAGTTCAGCTTAACGAAACCGTAACTCGGACTGTGTGTAGCACTTGGTATGGTTCCTGCTGCTATTTTCCCACGCACACCGTCCAGATCAAACGTTGTTATGGATACTACGTCTACAAACTTCAACAGCCGTATGGATGCTATATGGCATATTGTACAGGTAATATTGTAATGAGTTACAAAGAATTCAGAATTATCTGCTTTCCTTTTACAACCAGCTAATTAGGCCCGAGCAGCGAAGCGCTGGCGAAGGCCTATTGTAATCGCAAGATTTCTTCTTCTTTTTATTTTTTTGTCGCTTCGGGGGGCTGTTTGGGGCCTTTAACATATTCAAAAACTCACCAAACCCCACCCAAAATTGTCCCCCGACGAAAATGTTCAGATTCTCATGGAATCCGAAGTGGGCGTGGCCAAACTGCTGTACAGCGCCCCCTAATGTGAGTTGAGGGAAACCGTAGGTCGTGGAGATCTGAAAATTGGTATGTAGGTAGATCTCCCCAAATCCAGAAAAATGTCTGTTGGAGGTACCCCCTAAAATGCTCAGGGAGGCGGCAATTTTGGGTCAAAGGTCAAATTTTCGCCATTTTTCCATTTTACTCACGTCAAACTTTAACAAACTCCTCCTAGCGATTTTGACCTATCGGCTTCATTTTTGGTCAGGATGCAGTTAATGGGTGTGGCATTAAAAGTTATCAAAATGGTGAGTTCATGTTGAGGGGGCCGTTCCGAGGCGCCGAAGTTGGCGTACTCGCCAAAGAAAACCAACCGCTACAACTTTCACATAGAAAGGTCAATTGGCACCAAACTTGGTATGAGGGATCCTGGTTGAATGCCTGACGATCCTATGTTGTCATAGTCTGACCTCACCTAAGCCCCGCCCCCTCAGAACAGGAAGTGACTTTATTTTACTTGGAAACATACAACTCTGGCTCTCTTGACCTAATCAAGATGATCTGGTGTCAGATGACTGATAACAAGTTGGTCTCACTTGCTTTAAAGCGCCAAGAGTTTCCAGTGGAGGACATGGCCATGGTGGCGCGGCCAAATCACAGGTCACGCCGCCGCCACACGTTTGGCTCTAGATTCCACGTTTCAGTCCAGTTGCACCAAACTCACTGAGATCGATCCTTGTCCACCCCCCGACAGGAATCCAGTGAAAAATGTGGTGGGCGTGGCCTAATTCCTCCACAGCGCTCCTTAGAGTATTTTAACAAATCAGCCCCCAGCCATGCTTTATCCCACAATTATGAATCTTGGTACACATGTGTGACTTGTCAGGTCCTACAAAAAAAGTCTCTTAGGGCCATGGTCCAAACCCAACAGGAAGTCGGCCATTTTGGATCAAAGTCTCCCTTTTGTCTTTTCCATTGATGTCGTATCTCAGCGAACTCGTCTTAGAGCTTTCCAGATCCAGGCTTCAAACTCAGTCAGCACAGTCTTGAGGCATTGAGAGTGAAAAGTTATCAAAGGAGTTTTCCTATATCAAAGCATGTGGGCGGGGCCAACCCTCAAATCTGGCCATTCGCCATGAAACATCAAGGCTGGGGGAACTGCTCCAGAGTGTCAGTGGTGGCGAGAGAGTGGTGGTGCTGGAACCCCCGCGGTTGCAAATAGGTCTTCGGCGCGCTTTGCTGCGAGGGCCTCCAACGCCGCTTGCGACTTTAATTTTAACATGTATTTGCACACACACAACACCCAATTCACTCACTTCTAGAAATTGTAGTTATGTCCTAAACCAAAGCCAATGTGAAACATACGTTTTATGTTTGGTAAAACTAAGGCTTTATATTGTAATATATTTTGTGTCTGTGTGTGTTAGAACCTCAACCCTTCAGAGTATCGACACAAGATGAGAGCAGCATCACTCTGCAGTGGAACAAGATCAACAACAACAGCAGCACCAGCTTTATTCTGCAGTTTAATGGCACAGAGATAAACATCACTGCACCAGATGGAGATGGACCAGTGAACTACACAGTCTCATCTCTCACTGCTGGAACCAAATACACATTCACTCTCTTCACTG